GTGCGTGCGTGGGTGGGTGGGTGTGTGGGTGGGTGGGTGTGTGTGTGCGTGCGTGCGTGCGTGCGTGCGTGCGTGCGTGGGTGGGTGTGTGTGTGTGTGGATGTGTGTGTGTGTGTCTGTGTGTGTGTGTGTGTGTGTGTGTGTGTGTGTGTGTGTGTGTGTGTGTGTGTGTGTGTGTGTGTGTGTGTGTGTGTGTGTGTGTGTGTGTGTGTGTGTGTGTGAGTGTGTGTGTGTGTGTGTGTGTGTGTGTGTGTGTGTGTGTGTGTGTGTGTGTGTGTGTGTGTGTGTGTGTGTTTGCGTCTGTTTCGCTGCTGTTGGACTCTTCCTGGAAAATAAATGCGTCTTTCCGTCATAAACTCCATACAAACAGGCCGGGCGCGCTGACGCAGCACAAGCCTCGCATTGCGCATCTGGCGGTTTTCTGAAAGAGGCGGAATCCGCAAGCTGGCCTAAGCCATCCTCCATGGCTTCCCGCGGCTCGTCGTCATCCTCTCGCTGTGGACTGCGCGACCATTTGGAGAACGCTCTCAACGACCTATCCCTTTAGGGAAGTATAGAGACACTCCTAAAGCGATTATTTCCCCGAAAGCAAGCCGAAAGGCACGCCTCCCTGATTTCCGCGAACAAGGGTAGCGGGTGTGTCGTTTTTTGGAGTGGCCCATTCTTTTTGAAGTTGGTTTCAAGGGAAACCAAAGGGAAAGCCACCATTTTTGAAGGGTACCTCTATTTTGATACCAGTTCCTTCCACTTTCTGGCGCTGGTCCACGCGCCACGCGGGGGCGCCAAGCCAGGCCGAAGCCCACTCTGCCGCTCCTCGTCGCCTCCCATTCGGGGCGGGAGCCCACGGCCAGACAGGTTTGCGCCAGCCTGGCGAGCACAGAGCCATGAGGCAAATTCCATGGCGCGGCAGCAACTCCGTAACTTGCGCTCAACTCTCGTGCTCGGTTGGGGCTCCCACCATCAAAGCCTCGGGGGCAGTCACCACCTCTGAGAAAGATGTGTACCTGAGGATCCAGGGTCAGTTCAACTCAAAGGCGCTTGCGCCAGAGCACTCCTCCAGCTGCAGCCTGACCTTAAGCAATGGCAGATGGCGTGACGGGCCACTCAAGAAGCACAGCGTCCCGAGTTGAGATCTGGGCCTTTGCCAAAAGCTTGTGGATCTTATTGGCAGCTTGCTCTGCTGCTTCGTGCAACTGGCAGGGGTGGCCAAGTCATCAAGTTCGTTTGTTCGCGGCATGTTGCTCATTTACGTTGCTTGGTCCAGCACGCAAGCGCATGCTGCACCTGGCCTTCCACTTGTCGATTGAATCTGATCCTGTCCCGCCAGCTGACAGCGCCATCTTCATGTTCCTGCCCCTTAGATACAAGCAACGCGCAAGCAGTTGAGCAATTCAATTGATGGTCTCATGCAAAGTGCTCTCCTTTCAGCATAGAAAGATGGTGCCGGTACACGAGAGCCATTGTCCAGAACTCAACAACTACGTGGCATGCTCGTGCCAGAACCTATTCATGCAAATGCAAGGCAACTGCCTCTGGGCCTTGCCTGAGCATCCTTGCACTCACACACCCACGCACTCAAACTGCGGGAAAGGAAAGAAAAACAACAACAAGGCTACTACTGCTGCTACACGAAGACTGAAAGCTACAGTGTTGCAAACAATCCGCCGACCGCTTCTCTTGGAAAGGGGAGGTGCTCGGAAAGGGTGGCAACAAGCCATTTGTGACTATTGAACCCCCACAGCACCCCAGCTCTTGTATGTCCACTTCTGGCTCGATGCGAGCTTTTTAGTTCTGTATGTTGCTGAAAGGCGACAACAAGCCATCTTTATGCTGATGGTTGAATCATCCTTCAGGTCTAGTTCTGGCTCGATATGAGGGCCAAAACTGTCGCAGACAAAGTGCGGCATCTCTGGACGCCTTCGATCTGGTGCAGTATCGTCCGGGCGTGCAGGTGCAAGCCTGTGCCCTCATGGACTAGTACGGTCCACATCTCCATTATACACGCCACGCATAACGCGTGGATGGCGAAATACACGAAGGGTTGGCAGGCGGCACTCAAGCTGCAAGGTTCATGTTGGACCCTCTTTACCCTCCCTGGAACAGAGGAACCAGGTCCTGGGGGTCTGGGAGGGACATTACTTGCTTTAGTATTGCCAATTCTACTTTAGTATTTGACTCTCAGATTCCCAGTGCTTGCGATAGTATTGCCAATTCTACTTTAGTATTGCCAAGGCTGACTCTCAGATTCCCAGTGCTTGCATTAGTATTGCCAACTCTACTTTAGTATTGCCAAGGCTGACTCTCAGACTCCCAGTACTTACTTTGGTATTGCCAGCTCTACTTTAGTATTGCCAAGGACCGTTTTTTTAAGCAACCCCGAAATGGACAATAAAGAGGACCCCAAAACAGTCACATTAGAGAGGATCAGGGCCTCTTGTGGGCAACCCTCTCTCTTTGTGTGACTGTTTGCCCGTACTTTTTTGTAAAAAAGTTATCTCGAATTTGATGGCTTGGAGACCACTTCAAGAAATGGATTCTCTAATGTTTGCCCGGAGTTGTTTGCCTGAGCCCAAGCAGATCCAGAAAGTGAAAAAAGAAGCTCTGTGTTTTAGGATTTATTTATTTTATTGATTTTATGTCATTTGTATTTATTTATTGGGGGGGGGGGGGTGGAACTTTCCACAATAGAGGACCCCTAAAACAGTCACAGGATCCTGAACTAGAAAAACAAGTTTCTACAATACAGGGTACTATTCCTAAAGGAGGTCCAACATTAGCCAACAAAGGCTCGTTTGCTCAGCTGCGCAACTGCGCCGCATTCCAAGCGGTGAAGTTCTTTTTGGCAACGTGAGCTCACGTCAACTCAAATTACACACGGTAAGGTTTCTTTCAAAGGTGCTGCTGCCTTGTTCGCCTTCCTGTCCAGCACGAGCACAACATGAGTCACATTCAAAACCTGGTACAAAAATGGTGAACCCAGAACCATGTAAAGAATTAGAAAGGCGGCCGCAACTATTTCCGGCTGGCACTGCACCTTACTAACCTGCATCTACCCGGGTTTTGATTGTGGCTCGCATGATCAGGACCTGCAAAAGCCCGGAGATCTGTGACGCGGCAGAGTGGCAGAACGGCTGCGTTGGATCGCTCGCCATTGGTCCGAAGCTAGAGCTGCGGTTGACCCATGAGCATCGCCGTCTAGTTGGCGGGCCCGCTTTGTGTTCGGAGACAAGTGTGCGCAGGGCTCTCTGCGCGCGCAGATTCGCCTTTCGCATGTCTGTTGACTCAGGGAAAAGCCAATCGCGTTGACGCTAGCCACTCGCAAGGCCCTGGAGCAGAGCTAGACTCGGATTCCGGAGGAGCTTCGTCCTGCACCCTTCTTCAGTCCACGAACTCGAATACACTGCTGGTTTGCAAGAGCCGACAATCAGGATAATCAAGCTTGCGCTTAGACCTCACCCCGGCAAGGCAAACACTCCACGACTGCTTCCTTGACACGCCCTGCCCTGTTCTGACTGCGCCGAGGAAAATTGCGCCGGGAGGCGAAGCAACCAAAAAAACAAATGCTCAGCCTCGCGCTCGCTCGCTATCAGCATGGGCCAATTGTCGATCAGCGCCATGTCCTCGCAGCTTCGGATGTCAAAGCTCAAGCCGACTCAAGCCATGGATTCCATGGCTAACGATCTCCTGAACAAAGCTGCTGTAGCCAAAGACTTTCAAGCCTCGGAGCTGCGTTCACCAACCCTCGTGGCCTGGATAGCTATTGGGCTATGAGACAGCCGGACAAATCAGATCTACCTTCGCCTTGAAAATGGGAAAAAGGGGTTCGGATGCCAGGGGTCCCTCAAAGCTGAGTGGATTGGCATGTGCTTTGAACACGCAGGCCATCATCCAGGCTCCTGGCTCTTACCCTTGCCTGTGCGGTACTTGACCATCATTTCTTGTGGATCTGCAGGTCCCGGTGCGGCCTTCAAACCTGGCAGCTTTGCTTCATGGCCCTTAACTCTTTGGTACCATCTTCTGAAAACGGGACTGGAGGTGCCTTCATCAAGCTTGGCAAATTGCTTCTTCAAGGCTTTGGCAGCCTCCCGGACGCAGCTCGCCATGCCAAAAGCACCCCGCTGCGGCTGGAGTACTGGGGGTCGGCGCCTCCTGCATGGTGTCCACGTGCCGCGGGTCCACGACTTTGGATGCCAAGTCCCTGGCAACCATGGCAACAGCTTGATCTGTGTCCCTCAAGGGCCATGAGGAATGCGAGTCTTCGAGAAACTCATGCACTTTGCAACAGCATGCTCATAGAGGCGATCGCTGCCAAAGTGAGGCCGGGGCTGAATGGTCAATGTAGTAGTCTCTATATTCCTGGCTCGCTAACAAACAGGTGCCACGAGACTGCAAATCAAGTTGCATCATGCCAGTCTATGTGCAGGGAGTTTCTTGCTGTCCTGAGCCACCGTTCGATAGCAGGCGTGCTGTCCGCCAAGAGCCTCTAGGACAGCGCTCGCACAAAAACGAACACTTGAGGATTTCTCTCTATCGCGAGTCGCAAACAGCATCACTTGGTTGCCCAACCTGCACAGCTCTTTGGAGGTGTCATCACAGTTTTGCAGGCGATCCTGCGTCCGAACATTGTTTCCCTCAGTGATAATTCAGACTTTGGGCTATCAGGTGGGCGCTGGAAGCATGATTCCCTCAACCTCCGCTTCTTGCCGAACTCCCATGTCCTTGCAGAACTCCTAATAGCTCCGAAAGGCTCCCTCTTAGCAAATTTGGATACCCCCAGCTCTTTGGCTCCCTTCCAACCACCAGCTAGTTGCCGTTCGCTGCTTTCCGCTCCGCCGAATTCTTCCACGCGTTTCCTTCCCCGTTTCGCGCTCTTCTCCTTGCCCTTATCACTTGCTCCTCTTCTTGCCTGACTTTCCTCTTCCCTCTGCTTGCTGAAAATGCTCAAATGCCTCAACAATGCTATATGTTTCTCATCTGCAAAGTGAACGTACTGTTAGATCTCAAGCAAACCGTATGCTTGTCTGCAGGATCCAAAGACAAGAGAAGAGCAAAGAGGGGAAAGGGGGGCAGCTGCAAGTACCCCGAGGGTCTGTTCTCAATCTACACAAAACAACCCTCGGCCATGCACCTTGGCAAGCTGGCTTAGTCTCCGCTTGCCAAAACACAGTCAACCTCTCCTTCAGGGTATCACAGGCCCGAAACTTCGTTGAGGTTTTCTCCAGCAATTGTACCAGCCGATCAAACTTCTGACTCGCAGTCTGGTTTGAGCCGTGGGAGTTGCTGCTGCACAGTAGATGCTGTGCGCAATCTGTTCAGAACAAGTTGTTGGCTCGCACGCTTGCTCGCTGGCTCGCTGGCTCGCTGGCTTGCTTCCATTCGTCAAGATATAGTATAGTCAAGCAATTCCGATAGTCTCGACATGCATACAAGGACGCTTTCCTTGTGCCTTCTTCCACTCACAGTCAGATCACGCTTGGTGGTTGCGGCACAACCTGTCCTTGAGTAGGCGCATCCGCTGCACTCGCACAGGGAAAAGCTGCATGAACTCGTTGTAATCAATGGCGTGGTCCTTTTCAACGCCCGAAACTAGGGTCCCAATTGGGAAGGCCATGCGATCTTCCCGCAGAATGCCAAGGTTCTTCTAGAAGAAGTTTTGCTTGACCAACAAGTCACGTCGTGATTCAAGCAAACAGTGTCCTGGGTACCAATATCCTCGTCGTCCTGCAAGATCCGGTAGCTTGGGAAAAAGCGGCTTGGGAAAAAGACAGCAATCATGTAAAGAAAACAGGGACGAAGAAATGTTCCAAGTTAGCACACTGCCTTGAATAACTGTGGGTCAGATGGAAACCTGGTAAATGGAACCAAGCACGAACACCTGCGATCCCGCGGTGGTTTAATTTTCACCCACACCCAAGTGACAATGGGCACTCCGAGGACCGACCGCCTACTGCCGAAGCAACGATTTGCTCCTCGCCCAGCTCCAGCTCCGCCGCCTCCACGTGCTTCACGACCTCACGCCAAATTTCCATACGGCTCTGCTGCAAGAAGGTCGCAGGCTTGGCCAGGGACCATTTGATGTCAGGTTCACTCCAAGACAAGGCAGAATTATGGAAAAAAAAGAGTCGTCTTCACTTCTCAATCCTTGCTCTCAAGAGACCTAGGATAACTTTGTTCCACCAAGCACCCTGGAAAGGGTTATATGTAGTCCTCACTTGTACCCCGATTCAAGCTCAGAGTACAATCCGGACTGAAACAGCCAGGCGTTTTTGTTCCATCTGAGCGGCATCAGCAATGGTGATGCGGTTGTCCAACTCCACCAGCTCGTCGTACAGCTCTTGGGGAGTCACCTGAGTCATAATCAAAACCGATCAGTATGAAAATGGACTGCCCAACTCCATGTTTGCAAGGAAATTAAAAGGCGACGAAGACGCCTATTCCTGGCTGGGACTGCCCCTTTCTAGCCTTCATCTACACAGCCCAAAACCTTCAACATACAGAGCCCAGGCTCGAAACCGCTATCATTGTCATGAATGTGGGAAAGAAGGATGGCCTTCAAGCCTGGAATGTTGTGTGTGTGTGTGGGTATCAATAGCGAACATTCAGCGTGCTGTTTGGGAGGTGGTGCAGAACGCTGCCACACCTGATGTGCGCTTGTTTTTGCCCAACTGGTTTTTTCTGCCATATCTTATGCATTTGGTAATACATGATGAAAGATGGATCTTGCCATTGTTGTGTAGAGCCTTATTGATGTGTCCCTGAATGTTGCGCACTTGCATTCCCGTGTTTGCCTCACTTGACGCCAACAAACCCAAGCTGCTCCATGAAGGTTCTTCCGTGACCCCCAACAAATTACGTGTGGCCTTTCTCGCGCTCGTTCGTTCACTCTCTCTCTCTCTCTCTCTGTTTCTGTCCTTGCCTGCTCTGATCCATCGTCATCCAGACTTTCAAAAGCATGCCGCAGCGCCCTTCCATCGATGACCTGCCAGTTGCAAGGCAAGGTCCCTCGACTCAGCTCTCGCTCATGATAGCCAAAATTTGTCAGCGGAAGCAAAGATCACTCGCTCGGTCAAGAGAGTATCGGAAGTTCTCTGCCCGAATTGCCCCACATTTGCCTGCTCTCAGTTCGCAAAACAAGTCCTCACCGGCGCCCTGTGCGAAAATGAGTCGCCTCCTCTGCCATTGTCTCAGCAAACCTGCATGCTCTTCCAAACAAAGCATAGAAGCACTTGCAGTCAGCGTCCTGAACAGCGACACGTCCTTCACATTGTGAGCCGCCGCCAGCCAGTGAAAGACCTCGCTAAAGCGATCGACGAGCACTTGCCCCTGCATCCAGCTCACTAGGTCGCTCACCACGTCTGCTGCTTCTGGGGAGGAGCCTGCCCTCTTGGCAGCCAACTGCAGCTCCTGGAAGGAAATCTGCGCCTGAAGCATTTGCCTCCTTTGGAATGGGCACATGTCACGTACCGGGTATGGGTCAAAACTAAAGAGCACAGGTGACCACAGGTTTTAGTCCTTGGTTCCAATTAGGGTGTCAAAACGAATACCCATTTTTGACCCACAGCCACCGGGTCCTTCAAGTTCAAGGTGCCGGTGCCCTGGTTGTCAAGTGCACCAAAGCTCTCAGCAATCTGCAGGTAGTGCCTGAGCTCTGCCCATCCCGTAAGTCCCTCATGGCTCACCTCTCAGCGCAGCGCCCTGCATCCAAAAACCTGGCAAGGAAGCGGCCGAAGAGCCGCTTCGCCAGCGGAGCCCGGCAAAACTCCTGCTCTTGGTCCAAATCTCGGAGGCTTTGCTTGCATCAATGCTGGGCCAGGCCCGGCAAAAAACAACGCAAAACCCCACATCACGGACACCATTCAGCATGAACCATGATGTGTGGCGCATAGGCAGCAAGTCTGAACGAGACCCGCTCTCCTCGATCTTCGTGAAGACTTGGGCTGCCCCAGCCGGAGGACGCCAGCGCCTGAGTCGCTCGGGGTTGAAACGATCAAAGGCGAACCGCGAGCATCTGGGTGTGGGTCAAACATAGGTACCCTGGCAAATGGAAACAAAGACTAAAACCTGATGGTTTCCGCCGAACCCTTCTTCTCAAAGGGGGAGGCGCACGGGAATAACTACTCGCAGGACAATCTTTATCATCATCGTCGTAATCTTTGAGGCCAGCACATGTCTACTGGCAGGATCAACCAGGTTTGTTTATCACGGATATCATCAGCATCTCATCACCTTCTTCGCCTCGTCCATCACCTTCTTCGTCCTCATCCTTTTCATATACGTTTCAAAACTGACGCTCGACCCGATTGGATCATCATGACTGCTGGTGATGCTGAGGATGCGTCGTGATGATTATCATCCGATTTGAGATGCAAGAGATGCGTGGACATGATTATCATCATGATTGATATCATCACCTTCTTCGTCATCGTCCTCATCTGTTTCATTTACGTTTCAAAACTGACCCTCAAAGGAAACCACAAGTTGGATGGTTTATAAGGGGCATTCCATCATTCCCTGCTGAGCACCAGCAAGACGAAGCATCACTGGCAAAACAGCTGCGCCTTCGCACCCATTCATGGCGGAGTGCACGAGAGGCGGTCAACCGCTTCTCCGGGTGTGCGTCCTGGATAAGGGACCCGACAAACCATGGGGGGATTCAAATCATAAGCACGACCGCTTGAGAAGCCATCTGCACGCTTTTCCCCTAGGAAAAGGTTGGGTGCACTTTCAGGGCATACCGAGATATCTTCCATTCAAGTGCCCAGTCTTGAGGCATCCAAAACTGTCCAGAAGGCCCTCTATCAAAGACTTGGCTTCTGGATCCACCTGGCCGCACAGTTGCAAAACATTGCAATTCGGGTCTAGCCTTACGTGCCAGGAGCACATCGTCAATGGCAAGGGTAAAGGCCCACTTCTTGCTCTGGGCCTGCGTGGGAAGCAGTTGGCAGCTTTAAGTTCATCATCCACGTCTCTCCTCTGCTCTGAAACAACTGCTTCCATTTAGTTTGCAAACACGGCTGACTGAGCATCATTTTGGCACGCCTGCTTGCGTCAAAGCAACAGCAGCAACCTTCTGAAGGCGCTTGCGGGAAGCATCTTTCAGAGTGGGCTTGGCATGTTGCATCTCGTCTGTGCTGGCTGTCCTATATCCAGTCTGTGCTGGATAGCTAGTCATCTACCAGAGTAACTTTCTGACCTTCTCAGAAACCCAATCACTGCCAGGAACACCAGGAGCATGGCAGCATGCCAACTCAGCATTGCATGGATCAGGATAAGAATGTTGGACCATGATGTGGATGATGCAAGCTGGCTCTGTACAAAATGACCAAGGCCCTTGCTACCGCACCTGGAAAGTGGGGCGGAGTTATCAAGGAGGCAGTTGCATGCAAAATGGCACAGTGCGCGTGAGCGACAAACATGGCACCGTGTGCCTCTGCCAACTGCTGCGCAGCTGCTGCTCGTCGCCAAACAGACCCCCAATCATCAAGGAAGGCTTTGACTGCCAATATGGCCTTGAGCAATCACTGCTTTCGAACATGCCAGCAACTCAACTGTGCGAAGTGCTAGGGCAGGTGCACATATGAAACTGAGCAGTCCAAAAAGGAGCAGTATGCCTGCCACAGAAAAAAGGGATCCACTCTTCTCGCAACCACAAAGCGAGACGCCTGCTGCAAACAGGAGATTTCGCAGCTGGCCGGACTTCGATCTTCTCAAAGCAAAGAGACGCGAAGCCTGCCGTGTCTGGCAAGTGCTGCAAACCAGTGCGCTTTTTTGGTGCTCCAGCCTCACAGCCAATGCCAGCACAAACACCCAGCACTGGACAAGCCTTGCATTCTGTCAACAAATCACGTAAAGTTCACGGCGGCCCTGAGACTGCTGCGATCCGCAAGAGCTTTGGCCACGTCTAAGTTCACACGGCGAAGGGCACGGTCGGCAATAGATCTCAATACTAGCCGAGCAACCACTAGAGAATGAAGTGATGCCGTGTAGAAGCTGTACGCTGCCTGGGTAAAGTGAGGAACACTGTCATCACATGAAGGCCCAATGCATTGCTCAGTAATCAAGTGCCTTCGGCGGACCACAGTCGAACACAATGAGCTCGGTTGCGGCCTTGGACAAGCTTTCGAAAGTGCGGTTAAAAAGCAATATCAATCCGTCAGCAGCGTGTGGGACACACGCGCAGCTAGCAGCAAATACCAACCTTACAATTTTACATCACACCCCCAACCCGCCGCCCCTCTCCCGCCCAGGTTTGCCAGTTTGTTTCAAGGAGTTTGCACAAACAACCAAGAGCCGCCAGTGTATAGACGACAAGCAGCAAGCACAGCAACATAACAACACGATTCACAAACAAACACACACGAGCACACACACACACAAACACACACACACACACACTTAAACTCCAGATGGAGAGTGCTAATCTTTCGAGTACAACTGATGAGTCTCGAGTACAACTGATGAGTCTCGAGTGGGTGTAAGGTTCGGCTCGCAGCACTTGGCTTCCCTCTAGTGTCGAAAACGTTACAAGGTTCAACATGAAGCACACACAGCGGCAAAAGAAGCGGCCAAAGGACTTTCATCAACATCACTTCACAAAAGCAGGTACACACGGGTGATCAATCCGTGCATCCACCATCAAGCATAGCTTCGTTGGCCAGCGTTTGCTTGATGGCCGCTGGCCCCCTGCTGAGAAACCGAAAGGGTGGTGACAGGGCATTCTGTCACTCCGCACACACACGCCCCTCAATGAGGGGCGAGGAGTCTTCTTTTCCTCAGGAAGATCACATGCTCAACCCCGTGTCCCTATCGTTGACCAAAAAATCCACCGCGGCGAGGGGAACGAGAAACAGCCCTAAACCGCTCAGAAGACGGGAACGAGAGATCACCACGTTGAGCATTACGAGTGTCGCCATAGAGGACTGAAGCGAGTTGTGAAGCAGTCGAGCGATCACCATGAGAAAACGGAGTAGCATAGGTGAACGTCTCCTCAACTGGAATGGCATCGGAATTCCGAACTTCACCAAGATTGATCATGCGAATGATGAGTTGTGAAGGACTCCATTCGAGACAGAATGCGCTGGTATCCCTGATGCTGCCAGTCGCGGATGGTCCATGCCTGACCGTGCTCACCAGTTAGCCCATTGGGATCAGTCACCCGCTGCCATTCCCGAAAAGAATTGTCTGGTAGATCAGGTACAGTTTCTCCGTGGTGCCATCGCTGAGGCTGTCCTGCAGTGTAGATCCGCACCCACTCCTGATCCTGCCAGACCGAGTATTCGAGCCATGGGTGCTGCTTCGAATCCTCGATGTCCATGTCGAAGTAAGAGGCAAGGCGTATCGCGGGCTCCGATCCAGCTGATAGAGGAACAGGCACCATGCACAACCATGTACAAGCAACAACCAAGCAAGGTGATGCAAGTGTGAAAACCACCCTTATTTTGTACGCTACCCCACTCGCGTGCGTCTAGTCCTCATTTAGCTCGAAGATAGGTCTCGCCTTGGCTTTGCAGCTGCCGGAAGGATTAACAGGCCGGTATGGTTCGGAGACCCCAACCGTCTCCGATGGTGTGATTCCACGTGATGCACGTACAGGTTGATGAAGTTGGGAAGCTTGACGTGCGCGAGCTGTCAGTTGTTGAGAAATCCCCTCTTGGAGACGAGTCAGTTCTTCGGTAGAGAAATCCGACGCATCCGAGGATCTAAGGATCGCCTCTAACATCTGCGGTGACATACTCAATGCCGCGGATTGCGTGGCCACGCTGTGATGATCAGGAAAAGACATAGAATCAAAGTCATGACCAGCTTGAGAGGCAGCGACTCTCCGATAGCCCTCTGTGGCCCAGTCTCTTTTGTACCACATGGTGACATTGAGCTGCTCACCGTCTTGGTCCGGGTTGGGAGCATAGAACTCCCTCCACTCTCTATACGTGTGCGGTGGAGGTGGAGCATCATGTTCTTCATGTGGAGTCCATGATCCCGGATGAAAGATCTTGACCCACTGGGCATCTGGTTGTTGAGGATCCGGACACCATTCCAGCCACGGCATGACAACGCAAACCCGGAAAGACAAATTGATAGGTGTACGGCTGCAGACAACAATTACTGCAAGAGACACAACAACAACCACGCAAGCAATCACTTTTGCAGCAATGCACGGCTCAGGTGTTGAAGTCCATCTCCTGAATCGAATTGAATTGAATAGACTCCCCAGGAAGACGAGGACGAGCATCAGCCACCATCTGAGTTTGAAGATGCCGACGAAGAGGTCAGTCCAGCGTACATGAGATCCGGTGCGCCCGAAGCGAAAACTGGACGCGCAATGCTAGGGTGTGGACGACCCAGCCGTTGATATCCTCTGGTGGCCCAGTCCCGATAATGCCAAGTATGGAAGGATGCATAAGAGACCGGCTGAGAAACAGCACCCATATTGGTGCCGCCCGTGCTCTCCCTCGGCCAATACACTTCGAAGTGGTATACTTTGCGCCACTCCCGATAGGTGGTTGGGTCCTCCGGGGCTGGTCCCAAGGTGTTCTCGGCGACTGGATGCCACGGACCCGGTACGTAGATCCGAATCCATTCTACACTTGTGTTCGCGGGGCCATTGACGATGTCGTAGTCAAAGTAGTGTGGGAGGGCCCATCTTGCAGCGCCATACATTGTAGAATTGAACATATCAACTAGGCAAGCCGCTCGAAGTCATAAAGGAAAGCGGCGAACACATGGAGACGGAACGCACAACACCAAGCAAGACAACCCAACATGGAATCGCATACAAAGCAAGCACAATCATTTTATCCGACATGTTGCTCAAGTATCACTCCGAATCGTTCCAAGGATCGTAGAATGGTGGTGGTGACGGCTCTCGCCACGCCCCATCCGGAACCGATGAGCCCACCGAGGAATTGGCGTCTGCATTCACGAGCATCGCGAGTCCAATGGCTGGTAAAGGAGCTCCAAGTCGTTGATACCCTCGCGTTTGCCAGTCTCGGTACTCCCACACGTGGTAGGACACATACGAACTGGGCGTGACAATGGGATCCGTTGTTGTTCCTCCGGTGCTGTCTTCGGACCAGTACACTTGGAAGCGATATGACCTGCGCCACTCCCGATACGTGGAAGCGTAGACCGGGTCGAGCACTGGAGCATCATCGGGAACGGGTCGCCACGTGCCCGGTGAGTAAATTCGAATCCATTCCACTCCTCTGTCGATCTGGTACTCGAAATATTGAGGGTTCATAGCGGCAAGACAGGCTCTCGCGCAGCCGCTAAAAGCAATCGAAAATCTGCGGCGAAGACACACATGCAATGACAACCGCTTGGTAAGAAAGACGCGCGCAGCTGAAGGGATGCAAGGCAACTTTTCAAACTCAAGGTGAGACACAGCAGCGAGGTTTGTAATATACGACGCCTAAGCTTCACCGCCGTTGATGCCGCGCACACCTGCAATGATAATGTCCTGGTCGTCTACGATCACAAGGGGAAAGACATTTCCGCCCATGGCGCAGGAAGGCATGACAGTAATGCTTGCAATTTGCCGATGGGGACAGCGATGGACGGCCAGCACGTTTGGAGGGGAACACGGTAAAGGGCCGCCGAGATCTCCGCGGTGCCGAAGCGGATGCTGTCCGAGATCGTTTGGATGAACGCCCTGGACTGCGTAGCTCTTCATCACGGGAATGGTCAGTGCTGTAGATCGAGCGGCGTGTGCGCTGCGATTTCGATGTGGCAGGGCAGGATTGTCCGCGAGGAGCTGAGATCGAGGGGCTCCGTACTGAGGGCATAAACTGTGGGTGTAGAATCACCGGTGGTGGTGGCGGTGGAGGAGGCGGAGGTGGAAGAAGCAGTGGGAAACTTGGTGGGGGCGGAGGTGACGTAGTCTGCCGACTGGGTCTGTCAAGCAGGGCCCCAGGTCCGTGAAATTGT